GAGGTAGGACACTGACTGATAGAAGCTCCAGAGCAGACTCGGGCACCTGGCTTTTAACAAGCTCCCCCGAGAGACTCTAGCATCCACAATGCGTGCAAAGCCCTGGCTTGGGACCTGGGTGACCACAACAGCGTTGTCCCGAGTGCAGTGTGCAAACGGCGGCTCCCGCACCGCACCGTGGCTCAGAGGAGGAGCCGAGGGGGCCACGGGCCACAGTAAAAGGGAGAGTTGCTTCCGTGCAGGCCTTTCAGGGATGAGTCAGGCACGGGGCGTGGACCGGGCGTGTGGGAGGAAGATGGGCTTCCCGGCACCCTGGGCGCCCAGCAGGGACCTGCAGCGGCACCCACAGAGCTAAGGACGCGCCCCACTGCCCTCCTGCAGCCCCGCCTCACCGGAGAATGCCACATCCACAGTCTGGACTCAGCCGCCCATCACACAGTAAGACCGTGGTCCTGTCACTGAGAGACCTCGGACTTTGGGACTTTGCATCCCACAGAGGCGGTTCACATTCCAGCGCTATCTGCTCCAGCCTTATCATCATTTACAGGCTCAAAGGTGCATTGACTGGGGAGCTAGCTGAGCTGCCCTGCGGGTCCCCCGCTCCTGGGGCCTCCCTAGACCCTGACCCCCCTTTGTTGTCTTCTTCCTTTTTTAAAAATATTTTCTTTTTTAAACGTAGCCGGCAGCTAATATGCTGATTAATTTCAGACATCTCTTCATTAGGCTCCAGTGCACTGCGGGGAAGGATACTTCTTTTTAGATTTTATTCATTCCTGCAGCCTTGACTGGTGTCTTCAGCAAATGCTTAGAAAGTACCTCTTGTTCCCAGCATTTTGTCAGGAGGTGGGGAGAGAGCTTTGAACATCCCTGCACATGGGCAATGTATAGGCTAGTGGTGAAAACTGGCTACCACTTAGAAAATGTCATCTGAGATTCAAGGAATTAAAACTTCAAAACATGACTCTTTGCTGTGACCATACGGAGAGGAGAAGGGAATTAGAGAAAACTGCTCAAGTGGCTCCTGGTTCTATGAGCAAAAGAGCAACCTAATATTATACTATTTGTTTCGGCAGGGGCTACTAGACGGAAGGGTTAATGGCTAAAGTGATTTGTCCAATTTGTTAAGTACCTTTATCTTCTAAAACAGTGGTTCTCAACCCCATAACAAAGAAACAGGATTTCCGGAGGATGAGGCCCAGAAATCAGGATTTTAAAAAGATTCCCAGGTGATTCTAATGTGTAGCCAAGGTTGA